CATAACTAACCTCAATTTTCTTTCCCACATCTTCAGTTTTTGCAACAAATTTAAATGACAATTTTCTTGTTTTACCAGGAACTAAGCACATCTTTCCTTGAGTCAAATTTTCTAAAACTTCACTTGCTTTGGATGCTTCTTCTATTACACAGAACTGGTTGTATTCCTGAAAGAGAGGTTAGCAAAGGTCATCAAGCTCGTTTTATCCAGTTTAACACAAGCTACAATAAGATACACACATGGTAAAAACACATCGAAAGTCACCATTACCTGATTATTAAAGCTCACACAGAGCTTGGAAAACCTAATAGGATGTGGACAATCAGCCTTCAGATAAATATCAAACTGAACAGGAACATCGACATGAAAGCTTGGGGCGTGAAACTTGGCTTTGCATTGTACTAGAAATCAAACAAAAGGGCTGAGTTACACACTACCAGATATACAAGACTCACGCACATTATTCTGTGAACCACCCTCTTCAGAAAAGACACATCTACATTGTCCATTATTACTGACTTTCACACTTAAGACACTGCAACAGACATAAATGCAGCTCACTTTTTAAAAGACAACAAAATTTAAATAAATTATAGATTTAAAACCATCTTTAATTTTAAAAACAGACACTCCTGAACTGCAGGTGATAAGATTTTAAAGGAAAAAGAACCATTTTGTTATTAACTTACTTCAAAATACCTGCCTAGACAGTCAAGTGTGTTTCTAACAATACTCGAACTACAAATGAACAAAGTACATTTTAAGACATAAATCAAGTATTTATGTTGATTATCTTTATAAGTCACTGAAGAGAAACAAAATCACAGTTTATCTATGAAATGATTGTACTTTGAAAATTCTTTGATTTTTATATTTATTATTTTGCACCTATAAGAATGATTTCTCTGAAATACTGTAGATGTCGGCTACCTACCAAATGGCACAAAATCCTGTACTCCTATTGTGAAAATATTGCTGCCAGCCAGAGAAACTCGGTCCGCCCACAGCTTCTGAGCAGTTTTCACAGCTAAGATATCACAGTCAGGTTCTGGATCAGGACTTTCATTCTGTACCAACAGAGTTAAACATTCGTTCAATCAGGTAGAGAAAAAAAAAACTGTATATACATATACACACGTATATATAGACATAGATACAGGTATACATATCTGTACAACACATTTTATATGAACAACTCCAACTTACCATTAAGACATTTATGAGGTTCTTTTCTATCCGAGATTTCTGGTCATCTTTCAGAGTTGAAGCTAATATGAAGAAAGAAGGAAAAAAATCAGGACTGTAAGACAGGCAAGTAAGTCCACCATCCTTATTTAACAAATACACACACACACACACATACACATATATTTTTTTTTAAACAAGGTTTCGCTCTGTCACCCAGGCTGGAGTGCAGTAACATCATCACAGCTCACTGCAACCTCAAGCTCCCAGCTCAAGCAATCCTCCTGCCTAAGTAGCTGGAACTACGTGCACACCACCATGTCCCACTAATTTTTCTATTTTCTGAAGAGGTGGGGTCTTGTTCTTGCTCAGGCTGATCTGGAACTCCTGGCCTCAAGCGATCCTCCCGCCTCAGTCTCCCAGAGTGCTAGGATTACATGCCCAGCATTTAAAAATATTTTATAATAAATATCTCTTTTAAGATGACTAAGCACAGTGACTTGCACGTAGTAAAAGTACTGCTAAATATGTAAGACTAAATTATTCTTCAAATTTTAAAAAGTTTAAACATGTTAAATAATTTTATGGATTGAGAATTTTGCTGAAAGACACCAGGTTACCTCTTCCAAGGAGTTCTAGGGAATAAGTAATGTAATCTTTTAACTGGGCCATGAGGTAAGAACACTTCAGAGCTGTAGTCAATATAGACGTGAGTAGAGTCCACCATCCTTCACTCCGGTAATCACACATCACATAATCCAGCAACCTAAAAGAGACACAATGTAAGACATAATGAAATAACTCCACAAGAAAGGGTTTTAAGAGTTCTAGAAGAAAAAAAAGTACATTCCTAAAACTTTGAAAAAGATTGTGCCAGCAGATGGCACTTGAAAAATATTACAGAAATGGAGTTTAACAGAAATAGAAATAAATATGAAAATAATAATCCTTCAATATAAATTTCTATTCCAATTTCACTGTAAAGTAATCAGACTACTTGTAAAAATAAATAGTGAACAGGGCTTACTTCAAAGCTTTGGTATAATCCTTTGCATAATAATATTCCTCTCCCATTTGAACCACTATAAAGGAAAAAAGATTTATGTACATAATTTAAAATCACTCAAAGTTGTATAAAATTGTGGCATGTTATGGATACATACTTAGATGGCTTTTCATTCTTGGACACTTATACTTCTTGAATTGTGCAACAGCATTGCTCAGAAGAGTTATTATTATTTCCTGATAGAAAAGATAAAGTAGGAAACATTTGAATAAAAATAATATCATATTTTTCTTGAATACTGTAAATAATAGTTTATATTGAAAAAAACTTACAGAGTGAACAACATTTCTCTCCTTCAGCTGAATGGCAAGAATTCCTACCTTCTCTTTTTCAGGATCAGAAAGATCAAAACCTGTATAAAATAAGACGCAACCCATCTTAGATAGCTCATTTAACATAAATCTTCACGTGAACATTGTATGTGTACACACTCCTTGAATCCTTTAATATAACATATTTAAGACTCTTAACATTCTAGAATCTTAAAGGTTCTAAGAGACAGCTTTGTTAACATGGAAATTCTCTATGATCTCTGTTCTGAGGGGAACATTATTGAGCTCAATGTTCTTCTGCTTAGAGGAATCAACCATCTGAAGAGTAACATCAATATCATACTCTATAAAGAATGTACTTTGGAGATTAAAGTAAATAATTTCTTAACACCTAAGGTTCAATTGCCCCAGATACAGCTTTAATTAAATTATGTATAAAACATAAAAAAGATGCAGAGAAATTGTTTTTAAGGTGATACAATTCAACACTTGTTAAATGTCAAATAAACTGTTAAAGTTAACTGGAATTGTTAATATAATATTTAAATAGATGACAGTGGCTTATTGTGTTCAAGACAACAGATGTCCAAATGTTTTAATCACATCAACATCGTTAATTATTAAGTTACTCAAAGATGTAGTGATACAAAGCATTCTAAAAACTAAGAAACTGCAAATCTTAACAAAAAATGTTTGTACACATTTTTACTTCAACATAATTTATTATGCCTAACAGAGCCAAAGGAAAAATTATGATAATTATCTTTGCCTTCTGAGGTTGAGAAAAGGGTGGAGGGAAAAATTATTTACTTAGTATTCCTTGTCGCCATGATCTTTGTCCATAAAAGTCAAGAACGCCTGTTTGTGTTTCTAAGGGATCAGGATTGGGATACATTACAGAAGCCTGTAAATTAAAACACAAACCTAAATAATAGTTTATGTAATCCATCACAAATCAACTCTTGCCCCATCTTTGACG